CGTGCGTTGTGTATCTTTCAAGGAATTGCTCCATTTCATCAAAGTTGTCAAATGTATAGATTTTTTTTTGTACTTTCTTTCCTACTCTTCTACTGTTTGTTGGTTTTGTAGCAAAATTTACCCTTTCTTTATTTTACATCACAGTGGGATGAAAACTTATAAAAATGAAATAATATGTGTACATTTTACATCGATTTATTATATGTTAGTAAAATAATTAGTTTACTCACCACCATATTAAATTTGTTTCTCATCTTATAATTTCATGATCAATATGATTCTAATCTTACCTGTTTAATTTTTTTTCCGCCTATCTTTACCATTTCCACCATTGTGCTTCCTTTTGGTCCAATTTTCTATTACATTTTTTGTTCTTGAGGTGAAATCTGATATTATTTTTGGTACTTTAATAACTATCTTTTTATTTAGATTAATTTTCATTTGATAGATAATTGTATATGTTTATAATGTAAAATATGTTTTCCATAATATACAATTTGTAAAATTACCAAGCTGATTTGTGTACCTATTACTTCAAATATATATCATTACTTTGTGGTGAGAACACATGAATTGATCTCTTTTAGCTCTTTTGAAAAATACAATATATTAATATTAATCGTGGTCATCATGCCATGCAATAGATCATCAAAAGTTATTCCTCCTATTTAATGCAGATTTTTACACTTTAACTAGAATTTTTCTTTTCTTTACCCAACCTCTGGTAATCACCCTTTTACTCTTTTCTATGATCTCAGCTTTTTTAGAATTGATGTATAGCTGAGATCACAGAGATTCGTCTCTCTGAGCCTGACTTATTTAAATAGCATACCAGTCTCTAGGATTGTCCATTTTGTTGCATATATAAAAAGCTTGTTTTTTAAAGTCTGCATAGTATTCCATTTTTTATACATAGCATATTTTAGTATAATAACCCATCTTGTGCACTTTGGTTCTTTTCATATTTAACTATTTTGAATAAGAAAAGACAATGTGAGATTACATATTTGTTTAAAAGAGGATTTTGTATTTGGAAAACCCAAAAGATGACTCCTAAAATCTGTTAAAACTGAGAAGCAAATGCAAAAATGTTGCAGAATACAAAATCAAGATTCAAAATTCATTGGCATTTCTTTATATTTACAGTGATCTATCTGAAACTGTATTCAGGAAAAGAATGCCACTTACAATAGCACCAAAATTAATAAAATATTTAGGAGCAAATTTAAAATATCTGCATACTGAAAACTAAAATATCGATGAAAGAAATTGAAAACGGCACGAATAAATGGAAATATTTCTTGTGTTGATAGATTGGAAGAATAAATATTGTTTGTAGGAAGCCACCCATAAAATGTGCGTGAACCTTTTCAGCATTGAAGCCATTGAGAGGGAAGTTCTGGTTTCTGGGAATTTACAGTGGCAATCCTGCTGACCAGATGACCCGATATACCTAAACTCCCACTCAGCTCTGCCCAAAAAGGTCCCAGGCATCACTGGTGATGGGCTTGACCTGTTAGGAACTGAGCAGCCTACCCTGCCCCCACCTCTATCCTGTTTTTGTGATTAACTTTCTATTGAATCCCTTTGATCTGTTCTGATGTAAATAAAACCAATGTGGGCGCCTTTCTTTGTTAGAAGCTTTACCTGGCTGGTCAACTTGTCCTATCTCCGTCCCTGCTCTGAAACTATATTTCTGTGTCCTATGGTTATTTAATAGTACTATTTTCTTAGCCTTTATTTCTCAGCTGGCCCATCCCTCTGGAGGGGAACCTTTTCCCTCGCCAACATGGGATGTGTGGGAGAATTGTTAAAACGTCCATACTACCCAAAGTGATCTACAAATTCAGTGTAATGTCTGTTAAAATTTCTTGAATCATTCCTTAAAGAAATAAAAAGAAAAAGTATGAAAAGTTTTATGGAACCACCAAAGACCACTAAAAGCCAACAATCAAAAAATGCTTGGGATAAAAAGCAGGATGCATCGTACTACATGATTTCAAATACATTACAAGTCTATATTAATTGAAATACCATGGTACTAGCATAAAAACAGATAAATAAACCAATGTAATAAAATAGAGAAATGTAAAGCCATATATTCATGGTTGTTTGACTTTTGATAAGGTTGCCAGGAACCATAATATGGAAGGGACCATCTATTCAATAAATGATGCTGGAAAAACTTGCTGAAGAATTAAATTGGACAACAATCTCAGCCCATATAAAAGAGTCAAATAAAATAAGTTAAGTTTAAAATATAAAGCTGGAAACTAAAACTATTAAAAGAAAATATAGGATATGTGTCAATGATTTCTTGGAAATAACCTCAAAAACATAAGGAACAAAAGCAAAACAAAAAAAATGGATTTCATCAAACTAAACAGCTTCTAAACAGGAAAAGAAGGAGAGTGAACAGACAATTCACAGATTGGGAGGAAATGTTTGCAAATCATACATCCAATAAGGGGCTACCATACAAAATGTCTAACTAGGACTCCAATGTCTAACTATCAAGAAAATAAATAATTATATTAAAAATATAGAAAGAAGAAAAACAAAAACAAGTAAAATATAGAAAGAAATGGGCAAAAAACCTAAATAGACATTTCTCAAAAGAATACATATGACAGGGCTGGGGATGTGACTTAAGTGGTAGCTTGCTCACCTGGCATTCACGAGGCACTGGGTTTGATCCTCAGCACCACATAAAAAAATAAAATAAAGATATTGTTTCTACCTAAAACTAAAAAAATAAATAAATAAAAATTTAAAAAAGAATACATATGACAGACCACACATGAAAAAAGCACACACTGATCCGTGAGGGCTGGGGTGCTCAGTGCTAGAGCATTTGCCTAGTGTGGGTGAGGCACTGGGTTTGATCCTCAGCACTTCATAAAAATAAATCAATAAATAATAAAGGTTAAATTATTTACTTATTTATTTATTTTTTAGTTCTCGGCGGACACAACATCTTTGTTGGTATGTGGTGCTGAGGATCGAACCCGGGCCGCACGCATGCCAGGCAAGCGCGCTACTGCTTGAGCCACATCCCCAGCCCAGGTTAAATTCTTAAATAAATAAATAATTTTTAAAAATCACAGTAAGATTATCACCTCTCAAATATTAGAATGACTATAACAAAAATAATGACTAGTAAAAGTGTTTTCAGGGATGTGAAGAAAAAGGAACACTGGTACATTCTTGGTGAAAATGTAAATCTATGCAGCCATTATGAAAAGCATTTGTAGAGTTTCTTTAAAAAAACTAAAAATAGAAATACCAAATAAAAAACCAATCCTCTTTCTGGGTACATATATTCAAAAGAAATATACCTAAATCTGTATGCTGAAGACTTTTCTGTACACTCATGATTATTGCAGGAGTATTCAAAAACACTTTCATATTTATCACAGCCAAGAAATGGAAAAAACCTTAATATTCAGATTTTAAGAGTTCTTAAAATATTCTAGCTAATAGGCATTTGCTGGATATCTAGTTTGCAATTGCTTTCTCCCAGTCTGTAAGTTGACTTTTCATGGATGGTTCTAAATTTATGAAGCTCAGTTAATTAATTTTTCCTTTTATAAATTGTGCTTTGTGCATCCTGTTTATGACCCAAATTAAAAAATGAAACAAAAATAAAAGACCAGAGAAAAACTTTCATTTATACCTTGGCCTGATCCCAAAGCCAAGAGTATGCCCCAGGGAATTAAAAAAAACAATACCCTGGCTCCAAACCAATCTTCCAACACAGAGAATTGGTTGTATTTTCAAATTTACAATTTTAAACAAAAAGTTACAAGGGTGAAAAACATGACCCATGAAAAGAATAAAATAAATTTACAGAATTATCCCTCAGGAAATGCAGATAGTGGATTTATGAGACCAAGACATTAAAACAATGTCTTAAATATCTTCAAAGAGCTAAGGAGAAATTTAGACAAAATAATAATAAAGGAAAAAAGAAAATGATTCATGAACAAAATGATAATTTCAATGAATAGATAGAAATTTTAAAAAGATAGCAACAGTATTCTTGAGACAAAAGTGTTACAATAGAATTGAAAAATTCCAGCAGATGCAATCAATAGCAAATTTGAACAGGCAGAGGAAATAATCATCAAACTTGAAAATGTAGTATTTGCAATTCCATTGTGTGAGGAGAAGAAATAAAACAATGGAGAACAGTGGACAGAGCCCAAGTGACTACCAGGACTACACCACTAAGTGGACAAATTATATGCATTAAAAGGATATCAGAAGTAGGAAAGAGAAAATGGAAAGGAGAAGTTATATGAAGAAATAATGGTCAAAATCATTCAAAGCGTTCTTTTCAATCAGAATAGAAGAAATTTGAAAATCAATAATACATTGAAAATACAAAAATATATGTATTTTCCACAT